ACATATAAATATTATCTTCTAAAAAGTCAATATTAATATTTAAACTTATGAAAAAGTAAGACAAATATGATTGTGGCTATTAAAATGAAATATATGCCTTTTCAATGAAGAGTTGTCAAATATTTGATGACATCATCAATCATATGAAAAGGTTTTTTTTGGTTCATTAGATCTTAAAATCAAGTTAATTATGACCATTGGATTGAATGTTTTTTTCCTATAAAAAAATGCTGATGTCACTTTCAGTTTGCTATTATATATAGATGAGTTAAGAAAACTTGTATCTGACTGACTCTTCAACCTTAACAAATCAAACTAGAGCAGAAAGAGAGAGATATAAATAGAAGAAGTTCTTTGGTACAATGACAAATGAAACAAGGATACATAGTTTATAAAGAGAGGGAGTTCTGGTACATTACATAAACCGTGACAAATACTACAATAATCAGTGTACAAACAAACAAAATTGTACACTCTACCCGTGACCTCTCCAAAGACAACAGACAGGAGAGACCAAAATAACTAATACCCGTGAAAGAAACATACAACAAAGCCAGCACCCGTGAACCATCCTTCACCAAGTACCCGTTACCTGCCAAAAAAACAATGCAATAAACTGAATAAGTTAAAAGATCCAATGAAACAAATAAAGCAATAATCACAAAATCAAGCAAGCAAGTTAATCACAAAATCAAGCAAGCAAGTTAACCAGATCAAAGCATTTCAGAGATTAGTTTGTTCTTAAGCTCGACTTGTTAGCCGAGAGGTCACTGTCTTTTTTTGGCAAGGAGACGCTCAAGGAGCTTCTGTTTGGAAATGGTTTTTTTTTTCAGCTAGAATGCTCTCTATTTGATCGAATGCTGCTTCATTAGTGTGTTTCTTGCGTTTGGAAGCCTTGCTAGCCTTAACTTTAGGAGGCCTAGCCTCTTCCTCGTCAGGAACCACCTCCGCAGCTTCCTTCCTTTTCTCTTTTGGACCATCTCTGGACGAAGTCTGTGCTTTCCATTTTTTATCAAACCGGAGCTCCATCCAACAATGTTCAAGAGTGAACTTGACATTGTAGTCATTTAAGAAGATGTCATGAGCATTCTTCATGACATCATTCTCATTTTCCCCACTACCTAGCCCCTTCAAAGCTGCATCATAGCGACCCACAAACTTCCCCACCAGCTCATTAATTCTCCCCCACCTCTGCTTACATTGACTCCACTCTCTAGGGACATTGCCATTGAGCTGAGGGCTTGAATTGAAGTAGTCTTCAATCCTCTTCCAAAAGGCGCCTGCCTTCTGCTCATTGCTCACAATGGGGTCCTTGCTGGTGTTCAACCAAACACTGATTAGGACCAGGTCTTCTTTGGTTGACCACTTCCTCTTTTGCGGTTTTCTTAACCCGGGAGAGTTACTACGTGGCTCAGCATACTCTAGGTCTATTGGTGGACTACCCTGGGAAGCTAGTAGGTTAGCAAACGAGGGAGAGTTTATGGAAAAATAATCCATTTAGGTTTGGTTTTGGTTACAGTTTTAAGTTAAAGTGGTTTTAGAAGAGGGTTCAAAGCTATTTTAAACTACAGTCATTAAACACAATCGAACTACCAAAAATTCATTACGGTTAATTACACAACTACTTAACCTCAGAACTCATTCAATACACATCAACTCAGAACATTTATCTCGGACCACCCAACCACCAAATAGTTAAAGTAAATTTTACTTCTAAAACTAGTTAATTTTTGCTTTAATAAGAACTAAACTAGTTCTTCTTGCAAACGTTACTTAATATATACTTGCTTTAATAAGAACTAGTTCTTCTTGCAAACGTTACTTAATATATACTTGCTTTAATAGGAACTAGAGAACATTTATCTCGGACAGTTTTAAAAAAACATGTTACTTAATATATACTTTAATAAGAACTAGAGAACATTTATAAAAACAGTTTTAAAAAAACATGTTACTTCATATCTACTTATCTTCGGTTTTCATTCGTAGCAGACTCTCTCCAGGTCACCGATGTGCACGGTGAGGTACTCAACCTGACCAGAGAGCTCTTTAACATGTTCCTGCACATTGAAACTCCATCGACATTGATTTAGTGACTTAAATAACAATAGCAATATACAATGAAACAAAACCTGTAATAATTCACTAACCTCCAAGAACTCTATCTGTTTGTTGATAGTCGCGACCCCCTTGATCATCTCATCTGCCTCCTCCACCCGCTTAGTCAACCTTTTTAGCTCCTCTTGTACACCAATTACCCAAGGCTGACGGTAGTTTAAACCATCACCCTTGTTAACAACATAAACACAAGCAAATTAGGGAGAATCTTTTAGAATTTTAACAAACTATAGAGCTTATTATCTTTGTGACATTACCTCGAAGTTCATGCAGAAGAAGAAACGCTTGCCAGGAAGAGTGTCGTAATCTTCCTTCACACTAAGTTCGTCGATGATTCTCCCACCACACAGACACCTTCTCGGGATCCCATACTCAGAGTCAGCAACGTATCCAACTATGTTGATGTGCTCCTTTTGACTCTTTCTGTCTCTTCTCTCTGCTGCGGGATCCGTCTGAATCAGAGAAACAATCTATTAGAGACATGAAACGAAATAATATCTTTGAAAAAAACCCTATATCGCATCTTCTAAACTATAACAAACGGAACACAAGCTCGTAAAAGATTTGGTTAACCATAAACCTAAACCCCTAAATCGATTTACATAACTAACTTGAACTCCATTTCGAATCCCAGACAAACGACTCCTATAACTAACAACAATGACGAATTAGAACCCTAAATCGAAAGTCGATTTTACATCCCTAGCTCGAAACCCCCAAATTGATTTCGAATTCCCGAAATCGATTTCAACCCCAACGACTCCTAAAACTAACAACAATGACGAATTAGAACCCTATATCGAAACCCCCAAGTCGATTTTACAACCCTAGCTCGAAACCCCCAAATCGATTTCGTTTTCTCGAAATCGATTTCAACCCCAACGACGATTTAACCGGTTAATCAACTCGATTCTCACCTTAGATCGTAGAGGAGACACTCCGACGTCGATAAGATCAATCAATTATCACGGTCTCGGCCTTCTTAATGAAATCGCCTCGGAGCGTCTCGAACCTAATTTATTTATGCGAGAGAAGAAATGGTTTTCTCTCTCCCAGATCCTCTTTCCCCCTCTTCTACGCAGCTCTGGCTTGCCCACTCAGAGAGTGACGCGTGGAGTGACCCCGTTTCATACAGGTTCACGCGAGTGAACCGGATCACTCGTAAATGGGTATTTTTTTTTTGTAATTTTCGGGCCTAACAAACCCAGCCCATGACCCCCTTATAAACTCTTGATGTGGTTGCTCTTAGAGCATAAATAATGCTGGATTGTGGTCTTTATGAAAAAATAAAAAATGATGTGGCCCCACACATGATGGAAGAATGGGATCTTCCGAGCGTAATTTAAGAAACAAGGTTAATTTGGTTTTTGTATTGTTCATGGGCTACAGTAACAAGTGGTAATCCGTGATTAGTTCATTTTTTAATTTTTTTCTTTTCTATCAGACAAAAATATAATTAAAATAAAAAATAAGAACCCCAATAAAGGTTCTTGGGATAAACATACTCTTATATCTCTTGCTGCTGCCTTCTAGTTTTTGAATCATGTTTTTTTTCTTGCCTCCCGACCACAAAGAAAAGTTTTTAGTCAAAACCATACACATTAAATATATCTCCAACATCACTCCATATTTTACTTCATAATAGGATTTAGAGTAATAAATGTTTTAAGGAATTCTATTTTCATTTCATAATAGAAAACATTTTTTATTCAGAAAAAGGAAGTAATATTTTTATTTTTTGTTTATTACTTCATTTTTCATTCCAAAATAAAGTAGAATTAGAATAAAAGTCAAATATATCATAGAGTTATTTAATTTTGGAAGAAACAAATAGAATTTTAGAGTGGAGATACTCTTCTTTGGCCTCGATTGGTATAGCAGACGATAAATCAATAGTAATATGCTGTAAAAGTAGTATGCTGCAGAAGTTGTATGCTTTCATTAAAGTTTTTAATAAATTGATTGGTAGAGTTGTATCAATATACAATTTTAAAATTATTATAATAGCTAGTATAAATATATATTTATTTTAAAATAATATTTATATACTGATAATATATATTAATAATATATTTTATTAAATAATGATTCTTATTCACTATATAAATTATATTTCAAAAAATGTAAAATTTATTTTAAAAATGTTAATTTTTGGATATAAAAATATTTAGCATTATTAAATAAATAAGTTGATTATATTTAATTTATTAATTTATTATAAATAATTTATATATAAATTATTATTATTTAGTTTGGTAAAGCAATAACTGATTCATATATAAAATTACCATAAAAGTGAATATATGTTATACAATTTATTTATTAGTGTGTAAATAATATGTTTATATCTATAATATATAAATATATTTTATGTTATGTTTTTTGTTAAAAATAATGAACGATATCTGTAATTATATAAGTTATATAATATTTTAAATGTGAAATATTTTTTAAAAAAATTAATTATATTTTTTATTCTTATTTTTTAAAATATAAATTTATTTCTTGATTATAAAACTATTTATTATATTATTAAAAAATAATAATTATATATAATTATTTTTAAATTTTATATATTTTATCTGCAAATGCTCTCCTAAAAGCTTTATATGAGCACATTGAGCAAAAAAACATTTGGAGAACATTTGCGTTCGATAACTATTTTTCTAAATGCTTAGTTAACAAATATTGATTGGATAATAGAGAGCATAATGCTTATGTTAATGCTCTACCCAATTAAACCCAAATCAAAGCATAATGTTAGGTAAAAACAAGGATGTAATTATTGGCAAGGAATGAAAAAAGAGATGGGTCCACAACATACACATACGTAGATCATAAAACCAGTCTTGTGTCGCATAACTGCGTTCACAATCTATCTATATGTCTCACCTTTCTCACTTTCTCTCTCTAAAGCAACCACATTTCTCTCTTTCCTTCTTCATCTTCTCTAAGATCAAGCTTTCGGGAAAAGGAAGAAGCCATGAGCTCCTCAATTATGAAAACTCTCCAGATTCGTAAACCAACTTCTCTCCCCGTCTCTTCCACCGCTGCCAACGCTGGTGAACCAGGTGTTCTCCGTCGTCGTCTCTCTTCCCTTTCCCTGAATCTCTCCCGTAACCAGCCTTCCACCGATGATTTCCACAGCTCCAAATCTGTCTCTTCCATGGGAGAGAAAGGAGGTAGCTCTATGAAAGAATGGTGGGAGTGGAGTTGGTCATTGATGATTCTCTTGAAGAAACTACCAATCTTTTTCACTGCAGATCTTGAGTTTAACAAGGACGGAACCAAATCCTTTTTTAGGAATCAAGAAAGAGGCAGTTTAGCTCAAGTCTTCTTCAGGCTCCGATCTGAGATCCGACGTCTCCTCCGTACTTCCTCCTCTGACTCTCTTCCTCTCTCCTGCAATCGATGAAGTGATCATTGAAGGTTTAGACTTTATGTGTAGTCCTCTACCCATATTCTTTATAAGCAAAATGCTTTTCTTTGGTTCTTAATTCAAGGTGCGTGATGAAGTTATTTCATTGTAATTAAATGTATAATTATTTCATTGTTTTGTTCTAAGCGATGCAATCAAACGTGAAATACCGTTGTTTCTTTATTTATTACGCTAGGCTGGTGAATGATGATGAAGAACAATGATTATAATGCAAGTTTATTTGTTTCTTTAAATTTTTAAAAGTTAAGCTGAAAACTAAAAAAACATGATGATGTATATGTAATAGAATAGATTGAACAACGTTGCTAACTTGCTACATACAATTCAAATAGAAGCATTTGAAGATCTTAATTAAAGGTCAAAACATTGGAGCTGGTTTTACTTTTATTTCATTTTTTTTGTTTGTGCGTGAAAATAGGCAGAAATGGTGTTTTAACGTGTTACCAGAAAAGAAAAGAAAAGAGAATCTACGTACGAAACTTCGGCTACGGTTAAGGTGGCCTGTGGCCATCACCTTTTTGGGCGGTGGGGACAGGAATAATAATCGCGTTGGTGGCGCATTGTTATATTTAATCTGATTTATGATTTATTGTCTGTCATTAACTATCTAAACCTTTAGTATTTCGTTACGCTATCTTATGGACCGTCACAATTTAAAACTAGGAAAGATAAGTTTTTTTTTCTTAAATTTTGGTGAAGATAAGTTGTCGAAACAATTGAACCTTAATCATTTTTAAAACAACGGAAGATCAAGGATTTTAGAGAAATTCATTTTTTCTTTTAAATCTACAACCTAGCTTTTAGAAATTTTATATAAAATCTAAATTTATTGGATTATTCGTTTGTGTAAATTATCTCAAATTTCAGTTTAATATTAAATATGGAAATATGTTTTTAGTTTTTGGTTGATTTTATTATAATTTAATAAGTTTTAGCTTCTGAATATCACCTGAAGAAAGTTTAAGATCGTGCGATAGTGTATAGTGAACTGGCTTAGTTGTCCCGAGCTCTCCATGCTGGCTGTACAGGTAGGAGTCGTCATGGGATGGGTGGATGACTTTCCTGTCCACAAAGGTATCTGAACTTCAGAAGGCACATTTTCCCTAGGATGCGTTGGATAAGACAGGAAGAAGCGGCAGTGATGTTTCTGTACCGTAATGACAGTGATTTTAGGGTAGTATATATTTATTCTTATCAAAAGTGTCCTTCACATTTCGAAGCACATCAAAGGCACTCAACATACTAACAACCCTCCAACTTTTTTAGGTAATCGATAACATATCTGATCATAGATATTTCTATAGCTTTTTTCTGCTATCTCAGTAAAGGTATTATCGCAATGATCTCTGAAGATATAGTCTCCAACAAAGGACAAAGTCGTGACAAAGTACTTGCTAAAATTACTGTTATCATGCTACTACAAGAGAAGTAACCCTTTAATCTTTTAGAATATCTGAATTGTCATCATCTAGGACTAATGCATATGTACTCTGGATGTTAGAAAAATGTTATCATAGCTAGGGTAGGAACTAGCACTTAAGATTTAGTATATTCTGTGGTATACCCAGCGGCGGATCCAAAAAACCATTTAACAAAAGACACAATATGTATATAGAATTCATCATAAGTAAATATGTATATTACATATTAATTATTAATTAAAATATATGTTTTACATATTGTATTATATATAATCTATTTAGTTATATTGTTAATCTATAATTTCTTTATAGATATTTGATAAATTATATATAAAGATTCATTAGGATATTCACGATTTTAATAGTTATAACTTTTAACGTGATGTCTCATAAACAATGAAACTATGTCACAAATAATAGTATAGAGATAAATGATTAAAAAAAAATTTGTAATGATAGATCCTTTTGTCCTTTAACCATTTTAACTGTTATAATTGGATTTTTTAAATTAATACATTTCTTTTTAAAAGTTAATAGACATTTTCTGTTTTTAGTATTTAACGAGACTTTAATGAGTTATTTTGGTAAAATTTAGTTTTAGCTAAACATATAGAAAACATTTCAAGCAATTATTTTGCCTAGTCAACCTAGTAAATATACAACATAATTGCTTTACAAAATACAACAAAAAATTAATCTATTATTTGTAAACATAAATAATTGTTTCAAGCAGAAAAACATAAAATAACTGCCGTTTAAAAACTGTTGAATAGTAAGAAAATATAAGAAAACATGCAAAAGAAATAAGCATTAAAAACTTTAAAAACATCAGAATGATAAATTTTATTATTATCCTGGAAACTCGCAAAATAACAAAATGACATCAATAATTCCAGTCTATTGTATCTCACCATTTTATAGAATATATACTAATGAAAGGTGACATAAAAATATAACTCAACACATGTGAACTATGAAGAGTATATATGCCCAACTAGATTATAAACAAGTGGGGGCATATGGGTTTCCCTGTCATGTTCCAAACTACCACATTAGTACCAATGTATGATTGATTGTTTCGAACAACCTGAAGTTTGGTTTTCAAGACATCACTTTTGAGTACATGATTGAAGACTTATTAGCTCACATATTCCACACTGCCATCATTCATTGCTCTTTTCATATATAAATATATATACTTGCGTTTTTGCCTGTACCTATAGAACTGGTGGACGGCCTAGACTTGTAACCTATCAGTTTGCATTAAACTAGTAATGTAGTTGTCGTGTGTTTGAACCGAGTTCGATCTGTTCAGTGAATGAGTGACAGGACTCGTTGGTGGGTTATTTCAAAGGCGTTTGTTTACTATTTAGAGTCAAGGATGCGTTTGTATTGATAAGAGAGTTCGATTTACAAATAGAGAAATGAGTGGCGAGGCGGAGTCTCGCGGAGAGCTGGTCGTGCCGTACAAGTCGGAAAGAAGCGAAGGAGTAAAAACTCTAGTTCTAGCCGCCTTGAGAGTGAGTCTAATCTCGGATCCCTTTCTCGCTAGCTTCTCTCTCCCTGTTATAGTGGTTACACCTTGACCTAGCAAACTCATTGTGATTCTTGCGGGCTTCCGCCAAATGGGCCTTGATCGGCCCGCTAATTCAAGCACCTTGCCTAAACACCCTTAACTCGATTAATCACGGGGATTAGCCGAGCTAAGCTCGATTTACTGCTAATCACCGGAGAGCTCTCCTGTTGGGCCTAAATTTGTTTGGGCTGAGCACGTTATTGTATGGGTTTGGCGAGGAAGTGCATTCCACCACCTACAATAAGCCCCCCAGATTCGCTGTCGAATTATGATCCTAATCGGAGCGGATTTAGTCAAGTTAGGTCGTAAAATAACGGGGTCGGTTAATGCATCATGTCGTTTTCCCGAATAGCGGCCTTTTGATTCGCGGACTCGGATACTGTCCCTTTCGCGAACGCGGGCTGTCGGCTGGGAACCAATCATGTCTGCCAATACCGATCTCGAGCTCATTTCAGGAGCGTTCGTGGTCGTTGGTTCGGAGCTCGGAAGGGAATGTGAACAGTTGCGGGCTCCAAGAGTTTCTCGGAAATTGAAGCCCATTTAACTCGGAATATGAACAGTTACGGGCGGCTTTTAGGCCCAACTAGGTTCAAGTAGACCTAATTAATGCCTTTGAGAATCACGCCCCCCTTCCCTGCCTATAAATATGCTCCCCTTCTTCATTCTCATTACTTCTTTGTTTCTTCACGTATTCTTTCTCTCCCTTCTCTCTATTTTCTCTCTCTAGGCTTTCTTGTAGAATATATATATTCGCCGTTAGTAAGATGTATCCACAAAAGAGATTGTCGGTTGAAGAGAAAGGGAAAGCGGTTGCTACGACGTCGAGTCCGGCTCGGGATGAGACCACCGGTGAGCCTTTAGACGACTTCATCTAAGGCATCAGGAGGCGTTAAGGGATTCTGCAGGTCTCGACCTGGCGCAGAGATTGCTGGTCGTTGATTCGGAAAGGGATTTTAGGGGCGAAGATGATGGGAATTTTCCCGCGGAGGTAATGAATGATCCGAGGGTGCTGCGCCTCGATCTCCGCCGTCTGGTCGTTCCCGAGCCGCTCCGTCTAAGCGAACTCGATCTAGAAGATCTAACCGAACTAACACGGAGTCGGAAGAAGGAGATTCTCGCCCAAAGGTCCCTACGCGCTATATCTGCATGGGGATTTTTGAACGGGAACCCGCACTTCCTGGGGACAAGCTTCGATGTGTTGTGACTCAGTCTTGGGCGAAAACCGAGAAAACGTGTTCAACCGCGAAGTCGGTAGAAGCTTTACTCACGGCTTGCAACGCTGTGGGTGTGACATACTTGATTCCGACTGCGCAGCAACGCCCGTGGTCGCCTCCGATCTGTTATCAATGTGTCTACGAGTCATACTTCGGAAATGACACTAAGCTATGGTTTCCGCTGCCTCGCCTCGTGACGTCGTATGTTTCGCGCCGAGATCTCGCCCTGAGTCAGATGGTGAACGGGGCTTACCGAATTATGGTTGCTCTCATGGTCATGGCTGCCGAGATCGATGTTTCGTTGTGCGTTTATGCGTTCGAACAGCTGACAACCATATCTTGCTTGAACCGTCACTCGAATTCTGGCATGTTCTCGACTCGGATGAGGCAGAACTACAACATCATCACGGGTCATCCTGAGAAGACCCCGAACTGGCAGTGTTCCTATTTCTACGTCAAGTCTGACCAGTTCGCTTTCGTCGATCCTCCAAGTGACGACTTTAGGACCTATTGGAACAGTGTAGCGGGTAGTTAGCTCGTCTTGGCTGTTGTCGATTTTGTTTGTTCTAACTGTCTTCTCTTGTTATGCAGAACCGTATCATAACTACTATATGTCCGACGCCGCTGTTCCTCCTTCATTCATGTCCACCGCCCGAGCTCTGGTTGAACTAGGTCATCAACTGTGGCATGATATTAGCGAGGAGAGGATCCGACGCTGGTCAGAGCGCATCAATCAAGGTATTGAGAGCTTCCGCCTGTCTGCTTTCCTTTTTCCCCTTCTTTTGTTTGAAGTATGCGCGGCACTTAATGCCGCTTTCTTCCGGCAGCTAACTGGGAAGAAGATGCTGGGTGCAAGGTTAGACCCGGAAAGAAAAGATCTACCCTCTATACGGCAGAAGAGCAGTGAGTAGTTAAGGAAGCGTTAGCGATGAAAGAGCCTGTTGATCTTTCCCAAGCGATGAAGAAGGAGGGAACGTCGCAAGGGACTCAATTGATGAACGTGATCGATAGCTTCAACTAGGCCTAGGCATAAAATCCGAAACCTGAAATCCGAACCGAACCCGAACCGAAAAACCCGATCCGTTATCCGACCCGAAATGTAA